GACAAGAGACTTGACCCTGTCGTCCTCCTCATTAGTCAAGAGCATGTCACAATATTTGTAGCCAGAGAAATAACATGTTTCTAACTAACACAGTTTCAGACACTCTAGTGAATGTGACAGATCATTTATGACATTTAACAGATTGCATCCAAACAGTCTGAGGACATGTTCACATCTGTTAGTAAAGCTAGAAAGTAAATGTCCCTTTAGTTAAATTACATTTTATAATTGACTACTCTTTTATTACATATGTTTTATGACATATGTTTGTTTGTTTGTTTGCTATTTAGCATGATGACACTAAAACTACTGAACAGATGACCACTAAACTTGGTGGAGGGATGTATTATGGGTAAGGGAGGATTCCATTCAATTTTGGTGTGGATCCGAATCATTAGGTGGATACTAGAGTTGTTTTTCAAAATGTTTGTGATTTTCTACAGAAATAATGTATTTGGTAAACTTGATATATTTTAGGTGAGAATGGCACAATTCATAGATCTGGCTTGTGATATCTGTGAAACTGGAACAATATTTGTGTGTTGTTAAAATTGGTGGCACTACCCTTTATCCTACATTCCCACACAATGCTATCTGTACACTTTTACTGACTGCATATTCTTTAGACACAGAGACAAAACAACTTGGTGTTAAACCTGTAGCCTCTTGCAGAGTGTTGTCATCTGTAGGTGAGCCCAAGCCGGAGCGCAGCACAATGTAAGTGATGATTCTACGGTACAGAGCATCTAGTTCGTCCCGTGTTTTCACCCTGCTGTCAGTGATCTCTCTGCTCACAGGACTGAGCCTGGAGGCTACCACCTGCTGGATTTCCTCAAGAAACTCACCTGCACAAACACACAAAGTACTTGCCTAGTCATGATATTCATATTGCAAAATATCTTTTCTTGCTTACTTTTGTATGTAAATATGTTATATATAAAAGAAATACAATGAAACATTTCAATCAGTTCTCAACACTCCAGTCAGGGTAAAAAGACCAAAAAGTTTTTCATTAAAATTAAGCAGGTATGACTGTTTATTGTGAAATGTTAACTAAATGTGATGATAGTCCTAAAACAAGACTGGACTGTGTTCTGTGTTGTAATAATCTTATGTTAAATAGTAAGACTGTATAAAATTATTGAATGATGATTTTGTATTTCAGTTCTCGGCAGTAGCAGGAGACATTAGTGTGATAGTTACAATTACTTACGTCGGGAGGTGTAATTTATATCAAAATACACTTGCATTTTGATTGTGTCGAGTGAGGGGCTGCACTTTTCCATCAGCTTATCCAGACACAACTGTAAAATATATTGCAGATTAGAAACTGGGCTGTAGTTTTCATTAACCACACGGAGGTCATGTGCTCTGTAGAGAGTTCAACACCAAGGATTTTACATTATACTAT